TATCCTTTATAAACATATTTATATATGTACTTGACGCTCTTAACAGTTGTACATATTTCAACATTTATATGGCAATTGAATTTAGCTAATAAATATGGATTGTATGGTACAACATATCTGTTATCTACAGTATGTCTTCTAACATCAACAGTAATTCTTCATTATTACGTCTTCTATATAGAGGATATCCATTAACAGATTCTCGTGTTTGTTCAATAAACTGTTAAGGAAATTCTTTCGTGCATTTTCCATCTTTCATGCAAACAGCATTTACATTAAGAATTCCACATGGACCATGTATCATATGACTTTGAACAAATTCAAATTATTTAGGTTGTGTGTGGAAATCAGAGATTTCAGCACATACAACTCTATCGATACTATTTAATGAAATGGAATCTTGTTCGCATAATGTGACTAAAATATGTGCATGCGGTAATCCTCGTTTTTGGGATTCGATTGTATAAATCAATGCTGCAACTTTCCCAAAAATTTGTTTTTTTATCAACAAATTTATTAATTCATTCAATTTTTGTTTGAAACACGTACAACTATATCAGGTCTGAAATTTGATGTTTCATGACCTAAATAATCTTTTATTTCCGACCAATTAGGGTTGCATGTCATGGTAATGAATGTACTTGGTTTGCCATATGTTTGAACAATCACCATAGCATCCAAATAATTCTGATACATGTTTCTTGGAGAACCAATAAATGATGATGGCAAAATAATAGAACGACCAATTGTAGTTACATTTTGTGGATTTCCATGAATATGATCAACCATATTGCTATATACTTCAGCTCGTAATGTAGATTGATTTTGACGAAGATAATGCAATCTTGAACTTTCTATTCTAACATACATATCAACGATCCATTGTAAAAATAATTTTTGCGAATGATGTAATAAACTAAAGTTATTGCGAATGGCTAAACGATAACTCGCATACTGCGACATAGTGACTTTATCTCTGAAATTAATAGTTGCATTATTATTATTTCCTGTACGATTTGGATTATTATTTGGCCTACGATTATTTCCTCTACGATTATTTCGTCTTCGATTATTTGGTCTACGATTATTTGGTCTACGATTATTTGGTCTACGATTTGGATTGTTATTTTGTCTATTATTTGGATCACTATGTTTAATATTATTTTGCCAACCTTTATCACCATTTGGAAAAAGTAATGGATAAGCAAGTGGATCTAAGGATGGCTCCAAAATTGAAATTTTTCGAACTTCATTTGTTACTTTATGAAATGCAATCATATTCCTTTCATATGGTGGTTCACCATCAGTTGATGTAAAAATTACAGCAACATCTGTAGAAATTGGTTCGTTAAAACGACGCAAATCTAAATCGCGATCAGCTTTCATTACAATTGAAAGTTCTTTACGTGGAAATTGAACAATTTGTTCATGCATTTTTCTAAATGAACCCACATAAGGATTGACACGATCTAATTCTTCGGATATTTTATTCATAACTGATCTGAGACACCGCTCATTATTTTGATTATTCATTCTTGAGTAATTGGCAGTATCGGTATCGAAAAAATACAATTGTGCATAAATGGGTCTCTGACCATAATGTTGAGTAATTGGACCTACACGATGATAAAAATTGTCATGTATTTTAAAATGATAAATCCCAACGGTAGAATTGAGATCAATTTTCGCTTCAGAGCTAATCATTGCAAATGATGAATTATAGCTTCTTATATTATCGAAATAATTTCTTGATTCCGTTAATGTATCATAAGTATCATGAAAATGCTCAAATAACTGATTTTCGACTAATGCTGGTAATGTTACCTTTCCCTTATGACAACATAATGTGAACTTATTCCAATCTCTATTTGTCACTTCACTATCGAAATGTTTAGCTTTACAATAATCACAGTTTCTTCTCATTAACCCCAAATTGAATATGTTAAAATTTCTTGGTATTAAATTAAAAGCACATTTGAATGATCCAACTAAATTCAAATTATTTTGTGGAATTTGTGGAACTTGTACAATTGGTATGACAGGCGCTATAACTTGTGGTGGTTATTTTGATTACGTATGATACTACGTGTATTATGTGGATGTGAATTATTATTAACATGCTCATTGTTTGAATTTGTATCGATATTACTATTTAATTGTTGATTACGTGTTGTGTTACGTAAGAAAGGTCGATGTGAAGTAGTAGCGACTTGATCATTGTGAGAATTTTCATCGATATTGTTATTTGGTTGTTGATTGGCTCCATGACGATTAACAATTCTTAATCTACTTCTAGCATTTGAAATCCTATTGGCATTTCGCTCTTTACGGCCCGTCATCGTGCGCCGCCTGGGCATTGTTATTTTTGAATTCAAAATAATTCAATTATCAAATAACTAATGTTATTATTCTGTAATAAAATGTTATACCAACCTATGCATTAAAATTTGAATTGAAATGTCTAATATTTTTTTTTTAAATGTAAAAGCTTAAGTAAATATATATACGATTCAATTCGATAAATTTATTCATTTAATTTGACCATTTAATTTATCTCTCTTGGATCTTGGAAATTTGCATCAACCATGTGACCCGATTCAAAATGCTGTACTACTCTTAACTTAATATTACAACCTTCGATTTTAATATCTTTATCTTCCCCCATTGACAAATTATTGAATGCAATAATTTCCTGATTTATTTCATTCCTTAACCGTAAATAAAATTCTTCTTTTGATTCATTTGCTCGGCAATAATTCTTTGTAATAATGAAATATGTCAATTCTAAAGCTTCGATCTGTTGTTGAGTAAATGGGTGATATGGTTGACTTTTAAGAAAAATGACATGTTCAACAATGTCATGCTTCATTTTGTTCTCATGATCCATTATATTCTGAAAATTATTTAATTTAAAACACTTAAAAAATTGCGTAAAATAATTTTATTTCGAAAATTATTTTTCAATAGAGATGTATCATAACTCCTCTATTGAAATCAAAAACAGAATTCATGACACTATTTAGAAGCATTATTTTGGTTCTACGATTCATATTGACACCGCTGCAATAATACTTTTCACTCATAAGAATTATTTCAATAATCGAATATGGCACTTTATTCAAAAGTGCAAGATAGTGAACCTGTATTTCAGAAACCATAATTGGTCCACTCAATTGATATATGCGAATAACGTGTCTTATGAACAAAACACAATTTTGAAGCTGCTTTCTGATTTCTTTTTTCTTTGCTTTAAATTTCATTGCAACTGCAACTTGTCTTATGAATCGTACAGGAACATTCCATTTTTCCGAAAATTATTGTTTCATCAATTTTCTGAGATAACATTTTACTGGAAAACCGTAGAAAGAAATTAAAAATGAGAGAAAATGAGATACGAAGAAGAAAGATGTGAAACTTTAAAATATATTTATGTGATAATTGTTTCGCCAAAATTGAATATATTTATGTAAAATGTTTGTATATACTTACTGAATATTTTGTTGGTACACACAAAAAATAAGCCTGACAAATTATTTTAGGATTTCTATTAAAATATTAATTTGTAAGGTTTCCTTATAATATTGGAACATTTTATCAGGAAACCTTTAAATAATAAAAATGTTTTGTTTCAACACAGTGAAGTTGGCTTTGACGTTTGGACGCGCCAATTTATTAGGATTCCTGTTAAAATATTGCGATTTCATAAGGAAACCTTACAAATTCATTTTTTAATAGGGATCCTAAAATAATTTGTTGGGTTTTTCTCTTGTGTGTACGGTAAACCAAAATAAAAATCGGAGCCCGATCATGGTATAGGATTTCCTATATAAAACTTGTAACTAACAACACCTCTAATGCGTATTCCGAGTACTAATTGACGTTGTGACAATATGGCCGTCACGGTTTGGCAAAATCATAATGAATCGATTAAACTGCGTTAAACTGTTAAAATAAAACAGTAAAAATAAATAGATTTTAATTTTTTACATTTTTGAAAATAAAAAATCTTTTGTTTTTTTAATTTTGTGAGATTTTCTGTCCACAATATTCAAAAATATTAGATTAATAAAAATGAATTGGTTGACATAACCTCACTTTTGTGTCACAATCGTGATAAACAGATCAAATAGTTATTAAAACGAAATCGAGGTTATGTCAACCACTTCATTTTTTATTAATTTAATATTTTTGAATATTGTGCAGTAAATCTCACGAAACTACCGGAAACTACAAAACAAAACAAAGTAGTTTTGTTTTTAAAAATGTAAAAAATTAAAATATTTTTATTTTCACTATTTTAATAATTATTTAATCGGTTTATCACGATTGTGACACAAAAGTGAGGTTATGTCAACCAATTCATTTTTATTAATTTAATATTTTTGAATATTGTGTACAGAAAATCTCACAAAATTAAAAAAACAAAAGATTTTTTATTTTTAAAAATGTAAAAAATTACAATCTATTTATTTCTACTGTTTTATTTTAACAGTTTAACGCAGTTTAATCGATTCATTATGATTTTGCCAAACCGTGACGGCCATATTGTCACAAACGTCAATTAGTACTCGGAATACGCATTAGAGGTGTTGTTAGCTAGGGGCATGATCAGGCTTCGATAAAAAATTCCGGAACAATGAACCGTTAAGCAACAGGACAGCGGTTAAATTGTAATGTGGCCAATTTTCTATTCAAAAATTTATGACAAAACAATAACTATCTGTTGCTGTGTTCCAAAAAATTGAATTTAAAAAAAAAACGTCTACATTTTTTAGATTTACTCACCTTGATATTGTTCGTCACAAACAATTGTTTGTTTTTCAAAAATGGCGTGTTTCACTAAGACCAAATGAAATGGACACGTTCTTCAAGCGACAACAGCACAGCGGTGAAATTGTAATGCGGCCGATTTACTATTCTAGCGATAGTCGATTTATTCTAACGACAAATGTGAAAAGATCGTTGATGCTCAAAATGCGTGCTCATCACTTTGTTTATAAACAAGTCATAAAAATTCTTTTTTATCCAAATATGATTTTGGAATGTGATGAGAATATGATTCATTCGAGAATTGTTTCCCGCATTGTTTGCACCGGGATCGTAAAGTAGTGAAGCCCCTCCAAATTATTTTGTGGTTTATTGTTCAAATTTTGTTTTTGTGAAAAATGGCGAAGAAGACCAATAAAAAGTAAGTATTGCACATTCTCCATATTCTATAGTGTAAATTTGTTAAATATTCAATTGTTGATATCTTTAGACAAGGTACGGTCATTTGGTTTGCTTCAATGATTTCATTCCTTGTTTGCGTGTGTGTATACTGTTTTGCGCATCTAACAATTCCCCGTGATTCCTCTCTCAAAGGTGAGTTTTTCTGTTTTTCCTTTTTTTGTGAGTTATCAATTCTATAATATTAAAGTTCTATTTTATTCTATTTCAGTTGTTTCTGGATCCCTGAAAACTTTTATAAATGTTTATACGGGAAATGGTCATGCTTATTGTGTACGGTGTAAACGAAGTGTCGAGCGATTTAATATGCGATCGGATCGAGTGAAATTAATCCGATTTGTGATACAACGAGTCGACCCTCGAGGTGAACATGCTTTGTGCTTAATGCAAATTGCGAAAGGGAGAGACCATCCACATCAACATATTTTTACTCATTCCGAGCAAAATGTTAACGATCCGGCAGTGCCGCTTGAATTTATCACCAATCGTGATGGCCAATATCAAGAGCGACCGTGTGCATTATCGTGTTACTATCGATTTGAAATGCGATTGCCTGCCGATGGTCATACTTCGCGCCCCGTGAATCGTACTACAGCTTCATCGAGCAACGATTTCAATCAAGTCTTACTGAGGCTTTACAGGAGGAGCCGAGTACATCAGCCAATATGTAACATGATGACAGTATACGTCGAGCTCATGGTCGTGCAATTCGATCGTGTCGTTTGAAAAATTTGCGTCGTGAAACCTCGGTTATGGACTCATCGTCGGAATCGATGGATACGACAACGGATTTGCCTGCGATTCCTGTTGATTCGGGTGATACCGAAAATGATGATGAAACCGAATCAAACGGCAAAATTGGGGTATCTCAACAGGTATTTCATTATTCTATTATATTTTTTCTTTTTTTTTATTATTATTGCTCTCTTTTTGTAGGTTTTCGACCGTTCCACAGATCCGGCGGCTATTGAACGAATACTGAGCGTCTTCCATTTAACTCAATATAAAATATTGACTTTACATGCAAACAGCGCCACCAACGTCCAATACTCTAAACCACCACAGCCAACCGCAGCCAACACACAAAAAACAAATACGTAACACACGCTTCGTTTCGCGCCATTTGACAATTACTGTCAAAAAGAAAATCATATATTCATATATCACATCGTTCGCCACATCGCATCATATCGTTCGTGTTCATCACAAAAATTTGTGTGAAATAGAGTGATTTTTTTTTAAATCTGTGTTTTTTGGTTAAAACTTTAAATTATGGGTCGAGCAAGTAAGTATAGTTATTTGATTGATTTGAAATTTACTATTTTCACAAAAGTTTTAGAAAAGAGATGAAATAAAAAAGAGTTTCCAAGCATAGAATAATTATAACCTATAATTTTAAAAGTAATCATTATTAATTCTCACGTTTGAAGTGAAAATTGAAAGAAATGCATAGCAAACATTCAATTGCTATTGATTTTAATAATATAGGTCGTTTAATGGGAAAAATCTGTTTTTGATTTTGTCTCTTATAGCGTCTATTTGGTAGCGTTTTTTGAAAGCCTTATACGTTTATTTGTAGACACCGGTAGACACCGCTTACCAGTTGTTTTAATATGCCTTACTTGCAATTTTATTATCTAGTTACACGCTCTATTTCACGAGTTTTGTTCAAAGCTGGAATTGAACGTTTAGCCAGATCTTCGATTCGCATTCAACACAACCGAGGATTGGATGCATTAGCATTACGCATTCGTAATGTACAAATTCCACACAGAATGTCTGTGCAACCCCCTCAAGCCGCTCCAATTGTTGGCAAAAGATTAAGTTTACAACCAGCATCAAAACCTTATTCGTGCAGATCTAATTTGACATCATCTGGAGTTGCGGCGTCGACATCTCGTGGAACATTACAGGCATCATCAAATGCTATTTGGTCAACCTCTCATGCATTACAAAGTGAAAATATGGAATCATTGTCATACTCGTCAAATTCATCACCATTGGATAATGAAACTGATGATGTTCCTAGTACAAGTGCTTTTCCAGGCCATACACAAAAAGTTGGAAGAATCAAAGCAATTACCAATCAATGTTTGTGATTGTTTTTTAAAAA